TTTTGTTATGAATTAAGCTACCCAGCAGTTTAAACAAGTACAACTGAAACTATTTTATTGAATTAGTTGAGTGACAGAATAATAATCATTGACTATTTTAAGTCATTTTTCCTGTAAAAATATTTCATGGTTCAGCTTCTCACACAGGAAGATTTGCTGCTTTTCCTTTTAATTATTTACTAATGTTTAATATATTATTTATAACAAATTACCATAATCACCATCATTGTCCCTACCCATCACTTTGTGTTGAAAAGTGGTTGGGACATTTAAGGGCTCGGATTAGGGGTGTGAAAAAACTTAGACCATGAGGGGTGACATTGCACAAATTCATTAGAATAAGACAAGAAAATATTTTAATACCATTTAGAAAAGAAACACAAAAATCAGATGACAGGTTACAATTATCAGAATATAAAAAATATTGCAGAATTCAATAGAGTAATAAATAGCTTATTACGTTTGGACAACACAGATCTTTCTTCTATTTTTACATGCCTGCATTGCATGTTTATTTATTGCGCAAATAAATCTTTTTCATAGGTGGGTGCAGTTTTTTAAAACGTTTTTAACAAATGCCTTCAAAAAGTGATGGGGACATATCTCCAGCATCCCCAGTGTAAATGACACCTATAACCGTAACTCCCTCTGCTCGCTGTTCAGCAACTCCATGCTCACAACCTCACCTTCACTCTCCTCCTGCTGTCTCACTCTTGCTCTTTTTACCAGAACAAAAAAAGACAATGAAATATTTCTTAATGACAGAAATTCTATCTATTATTTTCTCACATAATGATCATTATGAAATAAATAAAATAAAAAAAACACCTTCCTGTCTGTACTGGATGCTGGACAGCAGCTTACCTTTCAATCTGGATTAAAATAATTCAGTCTGATACGTTCATTTAGATTGAATTATGGCCGTTAAATGACATCTATAGATACAGACTTTATCATTCCCATCATGAAGGGCAATTTATTTGAGAAGCAAATAGTGACCTGCATCCTGTATGCAGACTTGCATGTACAAATCACCAGCAGTAAATATTGTGCGAGGACTAATATTGAACTACAAGAAGCCAGATACTTGCAAGCCTTTAATTAGTGTTATGTAAAGCTTTTGATGGGACATTTAAGTCCTAGAGAAGTAGTGACAGCTATGTGCAGAGGGGGTCCAATTTGATTTTGTTGTCATGGGGCCCAAAATTCCTGGCGGCCCCCCCTGAAGATTTTGCAAGTGCAAGTTGCGCATACACTGAGGGCTAAGCCCCCCTGCCTTTCAACCCTAGTGAATTCCCTGCGTAAATCATTCATTTATATAAACAACCTTGACCCATAAAGAACTGAGAGTGGCCCATTGGGTAATTTCTATACTGACACTGGGCCGGCCCCGTCACAGCCTTACTAGCCCTAACTGTTTCATGCCTTCACCGTTTTAGTCTGGACGGGAGGTGCAAACGTTGCAAAAGGTCTCTTTTAAAATGAAAACACAGTTGTGTGCATGGGGCCTTAGAACATTTGCAGGTCCAAAGAATGCTATTCAAGTACAGTATTTACTGTGACTGCACTGTATATTGGTTCAACCAGAGTGTGATTTTGCTCTGTAGTTTGGCTGCATACAAACATACATACTAAGCTGTTGATAAGGATCCTATTTAAAGTGCCTGCTGTCTGAATTTAATAACCTGATAGTGGAAGGAATAAAAGATTTGGAGGATGATTACTATGGATGCATGTATGTATGATTGCTTTTATTTTATTTTATTTTCCTGTGTGTGCATCTGTGGGTATATGCTCATGTATATCCTAGCCTTTTAGGCAACATCTGCATATTTATTTAATTTATTATAGCCAATAAATGCAGAAAGTTTAGTTAGTCAGAATAAAGCAAATATAATAAATATCATGAAATAATTTAATTTAGGTTCTGCCTTGGTGCCTAGACCAGCCAACAGATGCCTGACAACAAAACAGCCCACATTACCTTAGAACTGTAGAGTACCACTGACCTGTAGACCACTGCAGACCTGTAGACCACTAACTTCACTAACAGAATCAGCTGCCCTGCCAATCTCCTGCTTCTCGCGCTCCTAAAATATCTTTGGGGGTGTAATTGCAGACTGATGGACACACGGATGTACAAGTATAAATGCTGGCTACGACCCTACGCAGGAGGATAAATCAAGCTTTAGCCCTGTAGGCAAACTGCAGGGGGACCAGCAAGGGGCCTGTAATGTCCTTAAGGTGAGCAAACACTAGTCTTTCAAAGGACTTCATGTCTACAGATGTCAGGGCGACAGGCCTGTTGTCATTTTTCTCTAAGAATTTACCTCTTTGATGCTGTATGTTCTAATAGCTCTTACTAGTATTTATTGTCACTTTTATAAAATACTGCATTGATGCTTATTTATGCTTGTCTGTTGTTTCTCAAATCTAAGTCGCTTTGGATAAAAGCGTCTGCTAATTGAGTAAATGTAAATACACAATTACATGAAACAAACAATGCACAGTCCTATTCTAGGAACAGTACAGGCCCTCAGTTATACTGACACCTGCTGGTAGAAAGGGGAAACAGCTTGGTTCATTCTTTGGAAACCACATTAAATATGAATTTAATATTAAAAATATAGCACTGACAGTAACAACTCTGCATCCACATTAATTTCTTGGGTTAACCTATATTAACCTACAACTGTACTGCATCAAAAATGCACTTAAAAAAATGTGACTCTTGCTGTTTGAATAAATGCGCAATATTATAGTGCATCATCAACTACTGTTACTAACTTATTTCTCTCGGTCCAGGTTTATTTATTTATTTTCATCTAAAATCACCCTGGTATAACGTTAGTGCTGCATAATGTTACAGATCTGACCGTTTTACAGACTTGGCTTTTATTTTAACATGTTGTTTACCATTACTTCCAGGTCACCTGGCTCACCTGTCTTTCTTTTGTTAACATCTATCTTCAAACGGAGAAATAAAAATAGGAATTTCAAAAAACCAAAATCGGACCGTTATCTGAATTACTTGTTTTTCTCGTTTCTTCGTTTTTGGTTCGACACCACAAACAAAAAAAAGGTGGTTTTCTCATTTGTTCATTTCATTGTTCAAACGAAAAAACAAACTATCAGAATGTACACGGACCCATGGTATGAACAAAGTGATGTGGGGCTAACTGTGTTTAGAGTATTGGAAATGTGACTACAGATTGGACTAAAGGTTGTGGCATCCACACTAACACTAGTGTTTTATAGCAAACTAAAATAGCTTCCTTCCTTTACCTCAAGTAAACATTCCTTAAGTTCAGCAACAACTTGTCCGTCTGTGTCTCAATATTCTTGCTTGTCTTTGTTGAGTAGATGTCTGCACTATAATAAAAAAATCTAATAAGTGTTTTTCTTATTATTTAGTGGGGCTTAGGACCATGTTAGGGCACACCAGCCCCAAAGGTTTGTCGGTCCACCGGGCATTTGTCCGTTATGCCAGATTACCAGGCCACTCCTGCCAGTGGCAGACTTGTGACTGTCAGTGAGCAGCCTGTAGCTCTGATCACAGTCAGCAACTTCCACTAACACTAGAGACAAGCACACAACAGGAAGCTGGACAGACAAATGTCTCCACACAACAAGATGATATCAGTGAGTAAGTGTGACGTGTAACCCTTTCTAATATTCCTGATACTAATATTCCTCCAGAAGTGTAAAAGGGAAGAACAGCAGCAGCAGAGTCTCTGAACGTGTTCATGATGATTCAGCAAATGAAAATGATTCCATGTGTGTGGAATCCAAATCAGAAATGAATCATAAAAACTCTGCCACTCTGTCTGCTTCCTCTTCTTCGATCAAAAGGCTTCTCTCTTCTTCCTCTTGTTGTTTCCTACTTCATCTCAGCTCCTTCAGGAGAGCTATCTGTCTTCTTCTTCATTCTCTAATCTCAGTCTGCTGTCACACTTCATATACTTCACAAACAAACCACATGTAGGATCTTTTTCTCCATCTTTATTACTCCCTCACATCTGGGGCCTGAATCCCGAAGTTGGTTTAGCTGAGTCTGGGTCTCTCTGGGTGATCTGGTCTCACTGAGTGAAACAATGGCCGTCCTGGATAACCAGTATCATGAAGTTGCTTAAGGACTGGCTCTGTTATCTCTGGATTTTCCATCTAGCTCTAAAAGTGTTGATGTGAAACAGGACGAGTTGGTAGTTACAACATCATCACAACCATGAAGGAAGAGCTTCATCTGAGACCTGCTGAATATATATTAGATTTCAGACAGATGGTACAGGAAGCTTTCAGCTGACATGTGAGACAATAAGACTTTAAAACAGAAACAGTATCTGAGATTAAATTCAGGTCCATGCAGGTTCCAGTAAAGACACTAGTCATAGTCTTCTGAAGCCAACAGGGTTTTAGTGACTGTACACGTCAGTTTAACAGAGGTGGTTCAGTGCTGGATTGTTTCTGATTTCTCTTCAGTCTTTTCTCTAAATGTTTAAATGTTGGAATGAACACTTTGTTCTATTTTATACAAAAAGAAAGAAATCAGATGTGATGTCACAGATTACTGTTTGTTGAGTTAGTTACTAAAACTACAGATGAAACGAGTCACGGCTCAATAAGACCTGATGTCGATGAAATTGAACTGTGAGTATTATTTAAGAAAAGGCCTTTTCAGAGTTGAAGGGAAAGGAGGAAATATTCTAAACATCATCATTAAAGATCAATGGAAATGTGTGGTAAGAGCCAATTATTGGTACAAACAGATGAACAATAATAAAACAGTCAAGCAAAATGTCAGAGAAAAGATGGAGAAAAAACGTCTTGTCAGTCGTATTAAGATGTTCACCAGTCTTGTTTCAAAGTTTTAACACTAATTTAAAAAGCTTACAAACAACAGTTGACGAAGCAGCCATTAATACTTTTTTTATATACCAAATTCAATTACAAAAACATTTGATATAGTCTGAACAGATTGAACCAGGTCCCAACGTGCAACACAGCGTGAAATAACTTTTTATTCCCTTTAGCAAAAATGCATCCTAGACTAATGTCTTACACAGTGGTTTGTTATATTAACTAATGGTAAGAATAAAAGCAGGCAAATAAGACATTTAATGCTACAGAATAATTGTGGAGTCTACAAGAACAGCCTTCCTCAGCCTCGAGCCACAGTGGAAACTTTTTGTCACAGGAAAGCATGAAACAAACCAATCTCACACAAGGTCATTATCAAAACACTGGCACACTTACTTGAAATTATACCACCACGTAAGATGAGCAAAGTACATAAAATAATGACATATAGGGGATTATTAAAAGTACATGTAGGTAAAATCAATAACTAAGTATCAGTACATCAATGAATGCTCTCACCTTACTGTTTAAGCAGAAACATCATTAGACAAAAGAAATTAGACATGCTTCATGACAGCGACTTAAAAAAAAAACAATCACCACATCTGTTTGTTCCCGCTTTCTCTTTCTCCAGCAGCCTTCCTCTGTGCTTGCTGTAGATGCGCCCACTACATTTACATTTATTCCTTTAGATGATGCTTTTATCCAAGGCGATAAAATGGGTCCTCATGGGTGCACATCAGTTAAAAACAGGACAGTGATTATCTGTCTCTCAGTCAATGTTTAGTTAAAACTCTGTACTAATGCAAGATGGAAAACAGGGATTGACATTGACTATGTTGATTAGTAGGGCAGACTGGGACTAGACATATCTCAGCTAATAAGCATGACATATTCAGTTAAGTCTAAGTATAAATAGTATTTTACATTTGAAACTGAATTAAAGGAGACTGAGTTTGAATGAAGCCTGATGCAGCTGATGACATATATATATATATATATATAAGTATTGTTTTCTGTAATTTACAGGGGCCATGCTTAGCTTTGTCAGCAGAGTAAATGTTGGCCAGTAAGAGTACTATTGATCCACAGCCAGCCTCAGCCAGTACAAGCACAGTCAGTGATGTACAGACCTTAATGGAACAGTTGCTGCTTTAGATTGCCCCCCCTCCCCAATCTCAACAGACTTAATGAGGACCGAGTTAGTGCACAGCGGTCCATTCAAAGCAGCACTGGATTGTTTCTAGGAGGGGTTTACATTCAGGCTTATTACAGAGACAGCATGAGCAGGAGGCTGGAGGAAATAACTTGCTTCGCTCTGAAAAAATTTCAAAACTAAGCAGTGTGACTGCATTGGTGGAGTTTAAGGCTACTACCATTAGTAAAGTTTTTCCCACATGTTTTACATGAGTACTGTTTCTCTTTGGTGTGAACACATCTGTGTTTGTTTAGGCCACCTGATGAAGTGAAAGTTTTCCCACATTGGTCACACCAGTACGGTTTCTCTCCAGTGTGAACACGTCTGTGTACAATAACGTCACTGGATTTTGTGAAACTTTTCCCACACTGCTCACAGCTGTACGGTTTCTCTCCAGTGTGAACACGTTGGTGAGTTTTTAGAGCATCTGATTGACTGAAAGCTTTCCCACATCCGTCACACCAGTACGGTTTCTCTCCAGTGTGAACACGGCTGTGTACTAATAGGTCACCTGATGTAGTGAAAGCTTTCCCACACTGTCCACAGCTGTACGGTTTCTCTCCAGTGTGAACACGTTGGTGTTTTTTTAGGGCACCTGATGTAGTGAAAGCTTTCCCACATTGTTCACACCAGTGCGGTTTCTCGCCAGTGTGAATATGTCCGTGTGTTTTCAGCTGATCTGATCGAGAGAAACTTTTCCCACACTGTCCACAGCTGTACGGTTTCTCTCCAGTGTGAATACGTCTGTGTGTTTTTAGGTGACTTGATTGACAGAAACTTTTCCCACACTGTCCACAGCTGTACGGTTTCTCTCCAGTGTGAATACGTAGGTGTTTTTTTAGGGCACCTGATGTAATGAAAGCTTTCCCACAATGTTCACAGCTGTATGGTTTCTCTCCAGTGTGAACACGTTGGTGGGCTTTTAGAATATCTGATCTAGTGAAAGCGTTCTCACATTGGTCACAGCTGTACGGTTTCTCTCCTGTGTGACCTCTCTGATGACTCCTTAAATGTCCAGATGTTGTGAAGGATTTGTCACAGAGCTGACAGTAGTGACGTTTGAGTCCCTCTCTTCCTCTCCGTTTCTATAGCAACAGACAGATATACAGAGAGAAAGACAGTAAGTGATATGTCATGTTGGCAAGTGCTACCTAGAAGCAGCTGACACTAAATGAGACCAGTGTAAATCTGTTTCCATCACAACACCGAAAGTCATTCATGCCAATTTTTACGAAGATAAAGTTGCTGTTTGTGCAATTTTTTGACGCAATTATAATACATCTTGTGGTCTCTAATTTTGAGTAATAGCATGACAGCTTACATTTAGGAAGAAGGTAAAGATTTGTATTGCAAATCACATGACAATTACCTGGACGTTTTGAGAGGAGCGCTAGAGAGGAGACAGAGCAGTGAACTTTTACGTGCCAGTCTGTTATTGTTATGACAGAAAACTGTGTCCTCTTACATATAATCCTTTATGTATGATCTTTTATGTATGATCTTTTAATATTATTATTATTATTATTATTACTTATTACTACTTACTTAGTAATTACTACTATTATTATTACTACTAACCCCTTATGTCTGTCCACATTTACTAGGGTTTAGGTCAGAGCTGTGAGATTATTTTGGTGTTTTCCTCTCTTGTTGTTCCTCTCCTCGAATGTTCATTCAAGGCAAATAAATTCTTCGAAGACAACGGTTGGTTGTAACTCAATTATTTGCTCAACCCCACCAGGAATATAATTTCCACGACATTCTACAGCTGCTCTACCAGGCAAACAGTTATAATGATTAATGATGAATTACCTTATTAAGTACAGTTAAATGTTGTTTACAAGTGAATGTGAGAAACGCTGTATTGTTCTGCATAAGAAATAAGAGAATATATGAATGTTGTTTTAATTTGGGGGGGGGCTTTGTTATCTTATGGTGTCCCATGCTACTTCAGACTAACAGGAAGTTGGCCATTTTGAATTTTATGGCCATTTTTGGATGATTTATACACTTTGTACTTTAACGAACTCCTCCTAGGCATTTAGTCCGATCGACTGCAAATCTCCGCAGGGGGATTGGGAGCCTTTCACGCAGCCATGTGTGTAGTGGCACTATAGTAACTTTTCGTTAACCAACCAATCACAGCCTGGAGGAGGCGGGAAGTTACAAAAAGGTTTAGGCACTACAGCAAACTTTAGAAATGTTTAATTCGTTTTTCTGTATGCACAGTTTTGTTTTGTATTTCAGACAAGTTGAATTTCATAAACAAATGAGACACTGACAACCATGTAGAGCAATTTTCTTACACACAATAATTTAGTGAATGGAAACAATCCACAGAAACTAGGCTACTAATGGTAAGCTGTACTATTATCTGAAATTATAATGAATACACAAACATTAGCACTAATCAAACCTTAACCACAATGGTGTAGGCCAGTGATCACTAATAGGCGGACCGCGGTCCGGATCCGCACCCAGCCACCGTCCTCTCCGGACCACCGACCTACAGCAGATTTATTATTGAGACTTACTACCTCGTGACGGAGCGTTTCTATTTTAACCCGCGCAGCTTTTCTAGAATTTACTGTACTGGTTTAGCAGACCAGGAAACTCACAGACCAATCGCGTGTGCTTCAATCGTCTCATGTGACGCTGCTCAGCCAATAAAATGTGTGCAATTTCGATGCTTGCAAGTTGAGTCCGCGAGATTCACCAGAGACGTTTTGGAGAACACACGAATTGGAGAGACGAAAGGAAAGACGAAAAGAGATTTCATATGGCTTTTAATCAAGAATATACAGATTTTTATGTGTACATTCCTCCCACGGGCAGTTCAGAACCAGATTATCTCATAGATCTCCAATCCTAGCTGGCAGGACAAGCTAGAGCTCACGTTTCTCACCGAACAAGAGAAGGTAGGGAGGAGGCATTACAGCTGTTCATTTGTTATGATGTGTTGAGTGTTTATTATAAAATTGTTTAAGACCACAATTCATCAGTTCAAGCTACACTTTTTATTTAATTTTTTTTCAAAAATTTGGCACTTTATTATAGTTTACTTAAATTTAGAATTTATTATTAGAGTAGTTATTATTTATTATCCCTCCAGTTTGATGTGAAAACTGACATCAAATGAAACATGAAATATAATTTGATTTGACAGTCCGTTGTTGACTAAAAACATATCTTGATACAACTATACGTTATGGTACTAAATGATAACGCAAGTTAGTCGTTTTGATGTTCCGGACCTTTGCTTCGGGCAATTTTCTCTATCTGGACCTCTTTGAATTATAATTGAATACCCCTGGTGTAGGCTAATATCAGAAAACGGTTTTATTTGTGAAACAGCTAAATGTCTACCAACTATCTGTAGGCAGATTATCCAAATAAAGTGTAACCTGTAAATACAATACTGTAAATACAAACATTATACTTTCTATTTAATGTTATATATATATTGTGTTTATCAAATGGTCAGAAATAAGGGTAATTAGGTAAGTCATTGCCTTTACTGAACTGTTGCGCAAGTCACCCGCCAAAGGCCCATTCTGAGCCAGGAAAAACCTTGTTAGCCTTAAAGCCAACTGGTTGTCTGTGGTATCAATATACTCAAACGATCTAATAAAATCCTTTATTGGACTTTGGATAACACACTGGCTAGTGTGATTGGCCTATAATTATCCACACTTCCAACACTGCCAGCCTCGTCTTTAATGACAGGCACAACCTTGAGTCTGGAAATATTCCATGGGTCACAAAAACATTAAAACAAAAAGACAAGAAGGGCTACAACCTTTGAGCTTGTATACTTAAGTTGCCCTACTGCTAATCGATCTGAGCCACTTGCTTTATTATTATTATTATTAGATAGCTGAGGTATTGCTTGATGGTTATGATTCCAAACGTGTCCCTGTTGGAAATATTTAATAATAAAGCTTTTCCTCCACAACTCTGCTATATTAGAGCCTCTTAGTTGTTCATTATTTTTCATTATTCATATACATGTTTAAGAGGGCTGGAGAGAATAACCCAATAACCCCCCGTGTCATACTCAGTTACTAACGGCAAAGGGAGCAGAGACTATTGCCCCATCTGACAAGCATACTCTGGCTGTCATACCAGTATGCTAAGATTCTTATCATGCTTTCAGGCACGCCATGCTTTGAGGCACGCCTGAAACACTTCCGGGGTGTCGCCTACAAAAAGTTCAAAATAATTCAACTTCGGCAACAGGCAGCGTGTGCGTGAGTCGAGCACTTCACTAACAGGGACATTTGCTACTGAACCGTTTCTGCTGCTCGCTGATAAGAAAATTGTTTCTGCTGACACCTGGAAAAAACCCTAAAGGTGTGTTCACACTGAAAGTGAATTTAATATTCGCTTCACTTTACTCACGTGAGTTTGACCGCTGGACATTTTTAGTGTTCACACACAAGGCATTTTAAACGAATAAACACAGCCCTCGGATACTACAGCTATATGAACTCAAAGTAAACCCTTTGCTGCAATTTATTTGCGATAAAAAGATCAAACTGATGCTGAAATAACTACAATTTGATGTAGATTTGTTAAACAGATGAATTCATGCTTTGTCAGGTCTGTCAGCAGCTCTGTCAGCCAGTGGATTGTCATTACACCGCTCGCCTGGTCCTCTCCAAACAACGCTCCGAAGCCGCCGGTGATGCTTGGACAATCTCACCACTGAAAAGTTTTCACAAGATTGCATCGAGGGAATTTCTCACCCAAGTTGAAAAACTCACGCAAACCAGTGAATTTCACGACTAACGCCTCTTTTCTCTTTTGCGCTGCCCAGAGCGAATTTGCGTCTTTGCATTGACTTGAATATAATCAAGCCACCCAAAACCCTGAATTCGCTTTCAGTGTGAACACACCTTAACTTGTTTTAACAAGCTAGCAAACTTATTTATTTAAAGTGTTTGCACACCATATGTTATTGTACTTTTGAGTATATAGCAGTACATTTAAATACCAAGTGCGCAATACACTACCTTACAATTCATTAGGGCTGCAGTTAATGACTATTTTCGTGGGCTACTAATCTGTCAATTATTTATTTGATTAGTTGACTAGTAACAATTATTTGTCACCCCCTCAACCTAACGTTAACCATTTAACTAATTAAATATCTTTCAAGTGAATTACTGATCTCCAACACACAGTCTAACTAACGTTATCATTAAGTGAATGAAGTTTACTATTCAGAATTAAAACCAGTATCAATACCAGGGGGAAACCAGGGAAGACGGCAAGACAGCGTAGGCTAACTTTAAAACTTTTAACAAAGATTTGCGCTTTGGAACTATATAAAATAAAAGCAAATTAAAAGCAAGTACTATAACCACAACTGTACACTAACAATGTTTATTTAGAACAATAAAGCAACAGCCCGCTTTCACACTGTATCATTCTGTAGTTTATTTTTGCTTATGGGTTTTAGGCAATAACTTAGTGGAGAATGCTCTGTAGGCTGCATCACGAGCCAGATGTTCCTTGATGTACTTTAAACCATTACTAATAACTTTTTAAAGCTGGTCTCCGACATTGCCAGCGTTGTGTTGGACAGATTTGTGCTGTGGTGTTCATGAGAGACAACTCCACTATATTATCGGCTCAGAAACTCCCTTTATAGTGCATGGTAAAGTACTGCCCTTATTCAGGGATCTCACCTCCTTCCAAAAGCAAAATGTTATTATTACAAAGTAGGTTTTCAGCCATAGAGTCCGCTCTCATGTAGGGCTAAAACGATTAGTTGACATAATCAACGATGTTTACTATAAAAAATTGTCGACATGAAAATTTCATTGTCACTGCATCGTTACAGAGAGGCTGGTTTTATGCTCATTTTCAGGTTCCAAATCCTATTCAGGGGTTGTACCAGAACATGTTTACATGGAATAATTAAAAAAAACAAACATATTTTTTGTCATACTACATATTGCTGCAGCTCCTCTTTTCACCCTGTATTGCAGGCTTAGCTTTAGCTATGAAGTGATACATCTTGTCTCTAAATGATCTTTGTTGGGAGTTACACATGCGCAGTTAAGGACAACTAGCCAATCAGAAGCAGAGAAAGGCGGGTCCGCAAAAAGACGGTAAACAGCATCGATTCAGCTGTAGGCTACATGATGCGGACCAGCTTGATAGGGTTAACCTCCATTGTGTTGCGACGGCCGATTTTGGTAATCTACACAAATCTACACTTTCTCAGAAGTGTATTTCTGCTAAGTTCTGCTGTTGGCCTCTAAAGAATAAAACGGTTTGCGAGATTTACGTCTTCACGTTTTTGCGCGGTGGCCTCTAGGACAAACCATATTTGGAAGTTCACTGCGCATGCGCCGCGCGGGAAACTCTCAGAACAAAGAAAAGAGAAACGCTCGTGAGTTTTTCTTTCAGCTTCCTCTCTTCAAGATGAAAACAGGAACCACGGAGACACTTTGGAAATCAAACCACGTCAACACAAACCCTGGAGCGGGTTTTCAGGCTCTGATCTCTAACAACAGAATGAACGGATGATACACGGACCCTCGAGACTCTTCCTCGTGTCTTTAGTCTCGTGATGAAGTCATGAACACTGACCTGAACATCGGTGCTATCAGAGCACGAGGCTGCTGTTTGGCTCTTGTGGTCCGGGTTCTGGTTCTCCATCGTCCTGCAGGTCTCCGCTGTGACTGGTGGACCGTGTTGTCCTGGACTGAGTCTGGATTCTGGTCTCGGAGCACTTCCGGATCCCGCGGAGCCTCCGCGTTCTCGCTGTGACGGCGCCCCGCCCCTTAGTTACTGTCGCTAAGGCCGTTTAGAAACATGGCTCCTTGATTTCAGGCAGAAGATGAAGTTTAGTTAGTTGGTTTCCTGAAACCAGCTGATCATATTTGATGTGTATGAGGGAGTGTGCTTCACACAGAGCAGAGTTTTAATGAAGCGCTTGTTATTATCACATCAGAGGCTCATGAAAATATCCTGCTGAAGCTTTTTGTTCATCGTGTTTTTACCCCTGCTGGAAAAACCAGCATACACCAGCATAATGCATGCTGGTTTTACCAGCAAGACCAGCATATGTTGTGTTTTGGTGCTGGTATGTTGGTCACCAGCATACCAGCACCAGCATTAAATATACCAGCATGGGATGCTGGTTACTAAAGATGTTGAGGATAGTAGCTTGTTCACCAAGGAGGGATGCTGGATGCTGGACAACCACATTGAATTTTAGTATAATGAAAATGATGAAGATATTATGCATCTTTGTTTCATGTATGTTAGTAACCACCAAAATAAAGACATAAATGTTTTCAAAACAGTATTTTCATTTAATAATAACAAGAACCAATAAACAATTACTGTTTAACATAAAAAACAAGCAAATCACAACATCGTCAAAATGAACAAAACTTAAGTACCCTTACATTGCATGGCACTTTGAGTGCTCTTATTATTTTTTCAGTTATGAAACGTCCAGCCTTTCCCCATCTGTCTCCTCCAGATTCTTCCGACGCAGCCACTCCTTGTAACAGACTGAAAAGAAATACACAGATACAGTGTCACACCAGAACAAAGAAAAATGTAAATCAAATAACCCAGCACTTGGCATCCCACAAAGACCTTGTGGCTACTCCTACCTTTTAATGTGTGTAGTTTCTGTGGGGTTAAAGGCTGCCTGGTGGTTTGGGTGGAGGGGCATTCTTTCCCCCGTGAGGCTCCTTTCCCCCAGGGTTTTAGTGCCCCACATCGCCACTGCCAACTCTTTCACAAATAACGAATCCCTGGTTCTATTCTGGATCCTGGACCACGTCTCTTATCGAATGCTTACTTCCCCTCCCAAGTGAATCTGGCAAAAATCCAAAACAAAAATAATAAAGGTATTAGATTGTACTTACATATAGAAGTCAGAAACACTTGAAGTGTAGTTGGGGTTCTTACATTAACCCATGCACACAGATGCTGAGGGCAATGTAAACATGTTGTAAACAGGACAAATCCTGTACCTCGTCTCCTTTGGGAGAAGCAGAGGGTCCCACCTCATCTGCACAGCCAGACTCTGCAACTATATAAAGCATAATGTAAACATACACAACCTGCAAATTCATCCATTTGCAACCCTGTACTTGGTTTAATGCAGGCCTCGATAGTTTTCATAGATCTGTGAGCAATATATTTGTTGCACTTACTTTTTAAGGCCTTCTCTTTGTGATACAGGATCTTTGAGAGAAAAAGAACACATATATTACAAATTTGAGAGATGATGAAAAACATGACAAATAATATTGTAAATCCCCCAGATATAGGCTTCCCTTATTGCATATCCAAAGCAGTGTGCTAAAATTTGAATTTGCTTTATGCATAGCTGCTATTCCTTGAATGTTTATGTTTTGTCTTCATTTCCTGGTTCAATCTGGATACCGAGGCATTCCCAGGCCAGGTAAGATTTATAATTCCTCCATGGTCCTTATAATTACCCCATGGTCTCTCAAAAGTCGAATGTGCTTGGAAAACCAAACCTGATAACTGCGTTCTCAAAATCCTGAGACAGCAGAGTCTTTACAGAGTAAAATGTGTGCCAATCAGCTCCACCCTTACGAAATTGACCATATAGTCTTACTATAATATACTATAAGAATTATATAGTGTCCTGTAGTAAGTTTCTAAAATGTTCAATAGTGTTTTTCACCAGTTACGGTATCGATATTTTTTTTTTTTGTTCTGTTTTATTAGCTGTGGGAGCCCTATAATATTTCAATTGTAATACTTATGTACCTAGATCTTTGCAGTATTCCTATATTATTTTAAGAAGTATTACTGTAGAATGTAATGTAGTGTTTGGGTAGTTATTTTTTTAACACACTATAGAACATTCTTATTGTAATATTATGATGATGATAAAGTGAATTTGTAGTTTACTATAGTCATTTCCTGAAAAAAAAAACAGTAATACTGTGGGAAATACTATAGAGATACTATATAAACACTATAGTATAACAATAACTTTACTTTTTACCAAAGCCAACTCTATAATAATACTATAGTAATTTTCTATAGTGCATTCCTGTGTTTACACATCAGCAGACAGCACACTTAAACATCGACATACTGCATGTCTAAGTAGCCACAGCAGTCAGTAACAGTAGTTGTTGACTGTATGTGAACTGCAAGAGATGAAGAGGGAGAGACGGCCCCTGGATGAGAGAGAGATGTGACCCACGACCAGTTCCTTAGAATTTATAATAACTGCAGCGTGGTTAGGATCCAGATGTTTCATAGAAGAGACACGTTCTGTCTGCCACTGTTAACAGAGACCTGTCTGCAGTGAAGTTCAGACACTGATAAACCACAGAGCTGTTGATTTAACATTAGGCTTCATGATCAGAGAAGATTTTTATATCATGTTTTCATGATTTCAGCGTACTGCACTGTATTTGAATGTAGTTGTTCTTATGGAATCAAGATTGTGGGGCAAAATTGTGAGCTAAATAGAAATGTTGATCATTAGTTATGAAATTGTGCCACAGATAAAATACCACTAAATTACAAAATAAATCATGTCATTAAGAAGCTACATTTTCAGCTGACGAATTGCATTTTTGTTTGAATGGCATCCTCAGAACTTAGGAAAAATGAGGAGGAAACAAATCTGTCCTCACCATTGCATTGCACAGAGTTCAGTATTTTCAGCAAATGTTGCTGCAGTTGTATGTTTAGCGCTCGTAGTGTGCTATTCTCAGCCTTGACTGCTGCTGTGATCTTCTCCTGGTCCAACAACCTGTTACAGAGGGAAATATGTCATAACTACCTGTGATTGGAAGAAACAATAAAAATTATATTTTCTGTGAAATATATAAGTTGAAGTTATCTTATCTAGCCAACGGCTAGTGAATGTTTAAAGTTTTCAAGTAGGTTAAACAAAACACTGGGCTAAAGATCAAATTTCAACCCATTACATTAATAAAAAAACATTCTTAATGCTGTTCAAAACTCCCTTACTTGTTTTTGGTTTCCTGCAGTTGAAGGGACACATCATTGAATTTCTTGAGGTAGAGGCATTGTTTTTGTTTTGCGTCTTCAAAAAGTTTTTGAGGAACAACCCCACCACCATCATCATCATCATCGTTGTCGTCTGCTTCGGAGAACGTATCTGATAAGATATACTCTCTCATTTTCTTGCTTGGAGGTGGGCAGAGCGGAGACAGTTTTTTTTTTCATTTTTCTTTCCTTAAGTAAGGCCATGAGGTTGTTGGTTTTTTTGCCTCTTCTGCTGCTTTTTTCTGATTTTTCTGGAAACATGGATAAAAGCATAAATATAAAAAGGCATCACACTGTAATACAAGAGTCCCATACAAACAAACCAAACAAACAAAGCAATGTGAAAACAATATATGGTTAATGGATAGATTTGGAGCATGATATTATTACCATGTGAAGGTCAGAAACGCAAAAACACATTGCAGTACAGAAATGGTTAAAGTTCATGTCAAAGTTGTATTTTGTAACTGTTAGTTACATCCAAGTGCCACAAGATGGCAATAGCTGTGGTCTCCTTCAGCCGTCTAACACGGACGCGTTTCCCCTTGGACAGCCGCTCTTCCACTTCTTCTCTCGACTCTGGAATTTAAATCACACTGGATGTAAGTACTTGAAATCACCTGCTATAACGTTACGTACTGTTGTTACACAATTTTAGCTAGAACGGCTAAACGCGTTAGCCAAAACTCACATCAGTTAAAAACGTTAGCATTAGATAAAGGTATCCAAGTTTGCCATTTAATTACTCTTATTATGTTCCGAACTATTGGAGGTAATTACTCACCCTTCAGCCTTTAAAATAGTCCTCCTGCCAGCGCACCCAGTAGATCTTATTGCTATTATCACAGTTGCTGTCAAAGTCCTTAATGTAAGAAATAGGCACGATTTCTTTACACCCGTCTTCTATATATCTTACATAAGCAAACATATTTGTTAGTGATATTTATAGCGGAGTTATGATATAATTATATCTTCAAAGTTGATAAGTAACGTTATTCTAAATCTATCGTGTTAAATCCTATTGTAAAATTACCAAGTAACTAACGTCCCGTTAACCAAGTAACTTCAACGGCGGGAAGCACGCGAGTGAGATGCCCTGTTGCCTTGGATACAGTCTTAGATGTCTAAGACACACTATTCTACTACAGTCTGTCAGATAAAGTACTGGGGTTGATTAAACTTAAACACATCTGTATAACACAGCCCTTTTACACAGTCACAGTATTGTACCCTTCAGTAGGAGGATTTTTACAGGACTGTAGTATTGGGCTGCAGTTGTACAAAGTAATCTGGCAACTGAGAATATGTCATAATTTTTTATTAGTGCCACAACCCCAAAACCCTAGTCCGCAAACGAATGGTTAATTTAAACTAACTAGTTCAGTTTGTTCAGGCAGTGGGAGGATTAGAGGACATTTCCAACAACGTTTCCTTATCAGTGAGTTTTTTTTAAGGGGTGTGTGAGTCTCAGCTTTTATTGACTTAATTATTGTTTAAATTCAACATCCTGTTATTCATGAATATGTCTGTTAATCATGATGTCAATGTTCTTTTTTATTTTTAGAATGTCAAAACGCAAGTACAAATTGAACCTAACAGCACAATTAAATTACCCCGTGCAAGACTAAAAAGAGGACATAATGTAAGTAATTCCATGAGAAATAATTATTGTAATGTGTAGGATAATAATTATTCAAAGGATTAATAACTTTTGTCTTTTACCTGATGATCTGCTTTAAAGATGGTAGATGGTTAAAATTGTTTTATTTTTTCAGGCATTGCTCTTCACAGATGACTGCAGATTTGATCTTGATCAAGGAGGATCACACACTGCAGATGTTGAGGTGAGAATTCCTGTATGTTTTCATATCGCAATGTATATCGCAGAAAAGAAAATATTGCAGTGTCATTTTCCAAAATTGTGCATCTCTAATTGTGTTTATGCGATCTTTTCTTCATATTGTGCAGACCATGTCTACATCTGGCCACTTGAAGCCTACACAGCAATATGATCCAGATCACACGGCTGATCAGGTGAGCACTACAACCAAACCGTGGGTGCGAGGTTGTCGGATGCTGCCAAAATGTTTTTCTAAATTAAACTTCTGTGTGTTTAGGCCTTGCCCTATGCAGAATACAGCAGAGAAGAAGATGGTGCTTCTGGATCAGATTCACAAACTGCAGATGTTGAGGTGAGAGAGTAATATTCTCTTTGTGGCAAGTGGTCATTTTCCACTGTGCCTTACCACTTTTAAAACTGTGTGATTGTGCCATCTCTTCTTTATCCTGTGCAGACCATGTCTCCATCTGGTCATCTTGATCTTCAATTGGATCCAGATGACACAATGGTGAGCTCTTCTACCAACCACATCTGAGGGTTGTTTAAAAAAGATTGTCTGTTAAGCCAGCTTAATTTCAAATTCTACTTTATTAAGTAGGTTGACTGACCATAGATTCCATGGAAAAGTATTGTTTGGACTAGTCTAATCCTGGTCAAGCTAGTTTTGAGGCTTAGCATCACCTCAGACTCATCCAGTGCAACAATCTACCAGCAGTCCAGCCTGTATGACTCTCCATATTCCAAGTTCTTCCTAGTGAAGAGCTCTGTGGATCAAATCATACAAGTTGCAAGGATTTGAAATTAAGCACAATTGAGATTCCTTATAGCTGCAGGGAAAGAAGCTGTTTTTAAACTGGATTGTTATGATGGACAAGGACCTGTAGCTCCTCCCAGAGGGAAGAGGCATGTGAATGACACGAAACAGTTACACAGTTGTGGCCAAAATTATATATATTATTATATATTCAAACATTCAACAATGCTATTTAGCAGCTTTTGGTACATTTTGTAATGTAAAATAAATTATTTATATTTATTTTTTGTTTTATGTCAAATATAGTGAAAAACGGGGTGGTCAAAAATATTAGTGAATTTTTGCTTTCAAAACACACCTAATTAACCAATCAGCTTCCTAACAACAACTGAGCATTTAATCAGCATAAAATGACTCCAAAGAACAGGGCACTCGGACACATTATTGAGAGGCTACGGAAAAGTCTCATGGCTCATGATAAAGGGAAGGCATGTCCAAGCGTTTCCCAGTGTCGAACCGCTGTACGTTGCCTCATTGCCAAGTAGGAGACAAAATTCTGTAAGAAACAAACGTAGGCGTGGTCATAAGCGCAAGATTTCAAGAATTCTGGAGGGGAAAATAGTCAGAGATGTCAAGAAGCCCCGGACATCTGCCAAGGTGATTGTTGCTGACCTGGCCTCTTCTGGAGCAGATGTTTCAAGGAACACAGTTGTGGTAGTGTGCTTCAGGTCCATCATCCCACAAGAAGCCCTTTACTCAAAGTGTGGCACATCACAGCCAGACTGAGGTTTGCCCGTGAACATTTGAAAGGTAAAGATGAGTTTAGGAAGTATGTGCTTTGGTCAGATGAGACTAAACTGGAAGTGTTTGGCCACATGGATGTTGCTTATGTTTAGCGAAGAAACCCTAAGAACCCAGTCCACAGTTCAACATGGTGGTGGGAGCATCATGCTGTGGGGCTGTTTTGCAGCCTCAGGCCTTGGGCAGGTGTATGGCATCATGAAGGACGAAAATTATGTTGAAATTTTGAGGAATAATATGCAGAAATCTGCTCGTAGTCTATTCTTAGGTTGTCGCTGGGTCTTCCACTGCGGCTAATAATTTTGGCCTCAACTGTAGGTCAAAAACTTCACCAGGTATTGTTTTTATCAAGTTTGAGTTAGTCTGTCATATGAAAAAGTTAAATCCTAGTTCAGTTTCTTCAAGTTTAAGTAGACGTTTTGGCTTTGTTCAATAATCGTCACTTATTATCTACTCCCTACACCCTATCTAGGGAGTTCTATGTAGAAAACTGTATTTTAAGCTCACCGGTAAAATGAAAACAGGGCTTATCCTCTAGGCACCATTAATGAAGTCATTGCTGTCGTACAATTAAAATGACCAATTTTTTTATATATTGGTGCAATGTGTGATAGTATATAGGCTATGGATTAGTTATTGGTCATTCAGCTGTCTGTAAACAGAGCGAGTGAGAGAGAATAAGCATGTGTATTTTACATTACACATAATCTGCCTCAATGACTTTTTTCAAATGTATGTTATTCACATCTAGTTTATCCCTTTACCAGCACTCGTTAATTCTAACCAAAGCTACAAGAAACCATTTAACCACCATCAGTATAAATCATCCCGTCTATGATGCAGTGACCTGCTGTTGAATGCATTTAATACTACAGGACTGTCTACGACAAGGACTTGCAACTTCAAGATCTCATTTTACTATAACTACAACATTACACATTCACTTTCACAAGAGGAACTAGATAAATTTGTTTGGCAGGAAGCCGTGGTTTAATCATTTCTGACACACCAACTGTAACTACTGATATATTTAGAATAAGTTAAGCACTAAAAATCCAATTAACTCATATCAGCCGATAAATCGGTTACGCTCTATCTGGGATAGTCGACTTAGTTCACTTGGTGTATGTTTTGTTGAAATTGTTTTCTAAATGTCTCTTTGTGCTTTCAGATACTACCTTTTCCTGTCAACGGGAGAGAAAATGAAAGTGAAGTCAGACCAGGTTCAAGCTGCACAAATCACGAGTCAGGGCAGGGCACAACCATTACTGTGACACTGGTCAGGCATAAGTTTTATTGTCATTGTATGTAGACATACACTCATGAATGTGTTTTCTTGTCATTTTGTAGCCCATGTCTTCATCTGATCACCTTCTGCTTACATCTGAGCTGCAGTCAAGTGAGATGGCCCAGCAGTTTGATTGTGATTCATCATCTGAAAGCAGTGTTTCTGGAGTTGATTCAGAAATTCCAGATCTCCCAGAAGATGATCCATTCAGACAGATAGCTTTTGACACAGACATGGATTTGGTACTAATGTCAACAAAGGCTGAGGCACTGTTCATGGTGATGAGTCATGCAGCAAGGCATAATATAACAGGAACACAACTTGATGATTTGTTAAAGCTCATAAACACTCTGTTTGGCAAAGAGGTAATACCCAGATCAAAATATCTGTTCAATAAGGTCTTTAAAAACAACTCAGACATAGTGGAGTTCCACTTCTACTGCAAAACCTGTAAAGTATACATTGGCACACAAGAAGACATAGATAAAAACATTGCTCAGTGTGCAATCTGTAGTGCTCCCATTGAAATCAGTTCCTTGAACAATGCAAGCTTTTTTATCAACATACCAGTTGCACCTCAAATCCAGACAATGCTTGAAAATCCTCAGATTCAAAACAGCATGAGCTACAGACACCAAAGGCCACAGAATGAGCACATCATCTCTGACTTATGATGGTGAAAAGTATCAAAACATCAAAAATTTTCAATATGGCCCATACAGCCACATTTAAACGAGCTCCCTCCCAAAATGAGATTCAAGAATGTAGTACTTGCAGGTCTTTGGTTTGGTGCTCAAGAGCCAGTTATGCCCATTTTTCTCAGACCCTTTGTTGAACAGGCCAAAACACCGGCATCCAAAGGTGAAAAAATGGAACATGTGTGTACAGCAAAATTGTTGGTTTATGTTGTTGTGTAGACTCAAAGGCAAGACCAGCCATGCAAAACACCACACAGTTCAATGGATACTTCGGTTGTGGCTTCTGTTTACATCCTGGTACTCTAGTAGAGAAACAGGTGAAATACACTGTGACTGCCACAGAATATCCTGACAGAGAGGCGAAGAAAGAAGATAAGGAGCAAGCGGTAGCTCAAAACAGAAGTGTCAGAGGAGTGAAAGGTCCATCACCACTCATAAACATGCCTTATTTTGATATAGTGTGTTATTAGACAGCTCACAGAGCTTCTTTTGAACAGTAGTGAGCAACCCTACTACACTGGGAGTCCCAACACTATGAGGGTGCTAGAAAACAGGATCAGGGACATAAAGCCACCACACCTGATAACACGACTACCCCGACCCCTTGCAGAATTCAAGTACTGGAAAGCCTCAGAGTGGCGAGCATGGCTCCTGTTTTATAGCTTGCCAGTTCTGAATGGTGTACTTCAGCCACGCTACGTGAAGCACCTTGGCCTTCTGGTGTCGGCAGTATTTCTACTTTTGAAAGAGAACATTACCTGCCAAGACATCAACAAGGCAGATGAGATGCTTTTCGAGTTTGTGGCAAGGTTTCAGTTGCTGTATGGGGAGGCATCTATGACATTTAATGTACACCTGCTAACTCACCTTGCAAAATCTGTTAAATTGTTGGGGCCACTCTGGGCACACTCAGCATTTGTGTTTGAAAATGCAAATGGTGGTCTGTTGAAACTGGTTCATGGAACAAAGTGTGTAGCTCTGCAGATTGTGAACAAATTCCTCTTGCACAGAGCAATACCACTCTTTACCACAAGGTATGCAGTTAGTGAGCAAGTGAAGGAGTTCTGTTTGGAACTGACAAATGACAGAAGAGTAAAGAGTTTCACAAAATATGAAGACACAACTGTTCTGGATAATGGCAGGGTGACCGAGACTACCGATGATGAAAAAGGGGCCTTCATTTCTGCACAGAAACCTGCACCAGATGAAATGGTAGTGCACAGAAGAATGGTGCATAAAGGACTGGTTTATACCAGCAAAAGCTATAGCCTCAGTAAGAGACGCAGAGACTGTTTTGCAAAGCTGAGGGATGGTGTTTATGGAGAAATTCAGAATAACATTTCCTTTCCTTCAGAAAGGGGTCCAGAAATTGCTGTCCTTTTCAAAAAGCTTTATACACAAACCTCCTTTCCTTTAACACAAGGTTACGGGTTTGTGTCACATATCAGACTTGTGAAGTGAAAGGGTTTCTTCACCAGTGTGTCTGATTTCAGTAGACAGGTTAGAGCAGAAATGCATGGTTTTAAAAACGGGTGATCAGATGTACATTTGTGACTTTCCAAATGCACATGAGAGAGACTAGTCTTTCATAGAGCTCATTCTGTAGCTTAGTCATCTTAACTACCAGCTACTGACTAAAATTTTGATTAGCTCTCTTTTAGGGATATTTTCTTTCTTTGAAAAAACACAATTGGCTTTTTTTTTTTTTTTTTTTACTTTTGTGGCATATTTTTAAGAACAAAAAGTTAAGCACTTAAAATGAACAATGAAAGTCAACATATTTATTAACAAAAGTAAATGTGTTATTAACAAAGTTTAGTTCTAAGCTTCACTGAGAAGCTCAAAGCTGTTGAACACAGTCTTGATTCAGTAAATGGAGCTACTGTCCACAAGTGTGTTCACATGATAACAAGTGATTGTATAATCGGGGTGAGTTGTTGGTGGTTGGTAAGCCCAGTCTCTTCAAAGGTGATCTCTGGCTTTGAGTATGAATGTCCTCCTTGATCTTGCTATGGCCGTTCGCCGACTACAGGTTGTTGGGTTGGGTTGGATTGAATTGACTTTGACTCCTTTACAGTCGATGCTGAGAATGGTTTTGGTCTTGATATCTGTTTGCAGATATTCTTTGAGCTTCTTCTCTAAGCGTCCTTGATGTGTCCACGATGTAGTGTTTCCCAGTGGTGTCACATGTTACGTCGCTTGAGCGTATCTCATCTGAGATCTTAAGTAGAAGTAGTTAAGTGTTTTGTGGCTGGAAGACACTGGCTAGATGTTGTGACAGTCTACCTTGTGGGAACCTCATACTTGTTGCTGGGATGCTTCTGGTTGTGCCTGTTGAGTTAGGATTGTCCATCCTGGCCTTACGTCAAGTCAGTATTCGTATTATCCATTATTATCATTGTATCTGTTTGCCCTGACACTCACACCGGCTGCACCTTCCTCTCTGTATCCTCCTCCTCCTCATTGACGAGATATTGCCAGCAATGTGTATGTTATATGGTTGATGGGTTTATGTTAAGGGCTTTGTTATTGGTTTGTTGTGCTCACCGCTTAACCAAAGGGGTTGTGCTCAGGCAGCTTCCTTCCCCTATTAAATATATGTGTGTGTTATATGTTCTATACACTGGCTACTAAGGGTCAAAAGAGTGGTGTTTTTTTTTTGGGAGGACTTATTTTGTGTTACCTTGCAATACTTCTCTTCTTCCTTCCTTCCTATGTGTCCACTCGGCTGCTCTCAGCACAACGCCCCAGTATGGATCAGCCTTTTAAACTTTGAACCGGGCCTTTCCTCTATACTACAATAACTGGACACAGCTATGGCTCACAAGGAAGGAAGAAGATAAGCATTGCGAAGGGAACATAAAACATATTGCGAGGTAACACAAAAGCATTGTGAGGTTATGCAAAAGTAGGACAAAAAAAAAATTCCTTTCATTCATTCAAATTAGCTTTATTGGCATGACTGTGTAACAATATAGCCAAAGCATCATACATACTACGTAAGAATAATCACCCCAATACATTTCATTAAACAAGAAATTTAAGCATAAAGTAATCTAATCGTATGTGTGTTTGTTTTATTTATTTATATATATATATAAATTAAATATGGAGCCAGCATAGTTTCTGAATTTGATTCATTCAGTTTTCATGTTTCCCTGCTCCAACATACCAGATTCATTAAGCTTTGCAGGAGCCTGAATTGCACAACCCATTCATTTGAATCAGGGACAGAGACAAGCGAACCAGGTATATCTAAAATGACTCCTCCTTACAGGCCATATTGCCACAAAGCCTAGAAAATATAGATGCTGAAGGAACATTGGCTGACAGGGGTGGGGTGGGTTGTAACACTTCTTCAAAAAGTGTCACAACCATCCTCTATATATAAAACTAGGGACTTTCTAGATTTTAATATTTTACAGAGTGCCCTTCTGGGCCCACCAAACCTGCACTCCAGGGTTACCAGCATCCATTTGTCTGCACGGTGACCATACTCCCCATTCACATGTGTTTCACTTGCTGTCGTATGTATAGGCACTCGATTTTTTCCTAGGCAGCTTGCGAGAAATGCCGGTGCGCAAGAAAATGTCCCGGTAGGCCAAAGAGTAAAATATAGAAGTGCTGGAACTGTGTACCGGTGAATACCGGTCCACTTCAAGCACTGACTGTGTCTCTGATTAAGAATACAGACACACACTTCTTTTTTAGACCTAACAATGTACAGAGATGTTCTTTAATTATGTACATTTTTGTAGTATTTATTAAGTATGCTGTTAAGTAAGTTTATTCTATAGGCTAGATAAATTTACATACACATACATGTGCGTGAGTCATCAGACTAAGTCTGTTACAGTGAGAGAGAAACATTGTTCTTTTATATCACTACCGCGATAGTGGGGTAGGTCGTAACAAGGCAACGCGATGCATTTGACATCAACTCACGAGGTCTGTGATATTCTTGTAGATGACTGAAATGGTGCCATTTGTAGTGAAAAAATGTGGGTACTTTGTGTAAAAGTTCAAGAACTCTAGCTAATAAATTCAGCGAGTTATAGTTGCTGAAGCAAAAAGTGTCACAAGCAGACCCAGTCTCCCCTACATCGCTGATCTCGTCTGGAAGCGATGGACACAAGAATACTTACCATTGATGCAAGGATGACAAAAATGGATTAAAGAAACAATAAGTTTTGTGCCTGGAGATGTTGTTGTTGTTGTCAGTTCAACAGCGCCTCATGGATCCTGTAAACTTGGAAGAATACTGCAGACATTTCCTGATAGGAAAGGACTTGTATGTTCTGTTTGTCTTCAAACCAAGACCAGCGTAATCGAAAGACCTTTGACGAAGATTTGTCTTCTTTGTGAAGCAACAGACTAAGACGGAATAATGGAAGCTGTACCTGTGGTCGAGGAAAGGCCAAGGAATATTCGTCTATGGACTATAGAGACTTCTTATAGGTTAACGGTTTCAATCAGTGGATTTGTTTCAAATGTAATGGCTCCTTGTGTTAAACAGAAACAATTAGGGGCTGGTGTGTGAGAGCCATTTGGTCTAATGTTGTTTGTTGTTGTTAAACCTTCCGTCAGCAGGGGGGGCCATGGCGCTGTCACATTAGCTGTGCCTGAGTTAATTTAATCAAGGTCCAACAGGGCAAAGTTGTTGCTGACCCAAGATAGGATCATGCAAATGTGGTGTGAGGAATGAAACTGGAATTTTTGTATTTTGTCTGGGATTTACACCTATGAATGTAGCGTTGTGGTTGGGTTTCCCTTGTGCAATAAACAAGAGGCACAAAATCAATAGTCTGCTTATTAATTTTCAATAATTTATTAAACATACAAAGTGCAAAATATGTCAAAAGGACAATTAATATGGTTTATATAAATTTATTATTAAAGAAAATGATAAAACAGAATGACAAGTGGAGACCAGGTTAAATTTGTTAATGTCAATTTAAAGGAGAGTTTTTAATCCTCCTTTTCAGAACCTAGAAAATTCCTAAAGATTACTCAAGAATCCTCAAAGTCACTCAAATTAGCTAATTGATAAACTAGAATCAGTGAACATTTAGACTTAAGATTGTATTGATATTCAATGGTATTTAATTTGAGAGATAACTGATCAATTTTGTTGGAGACGTTGTTCCCGCCACCCTCTGGAATGATATCTGCATTTTCATCTTGCAATCATCATTTGGGCCAAATGTTCTCCTCATAAGGAACAACCTGCACTGGCAACATCGGATCCCGTAGTGCACGCGTCTTAAATAAGACAATCACCCAGTCAGCAACGGTAGTGGCCTTCTTTTGATAGGCAAAGAGTCCCCTCACTGTCAGACTAGGGTTCATTTCTTCAGCTTCAAAGTCATTAAGGTGAAATTTAAAACCAGTATTTCTGCTGTTAAAAGCTGGGAATAAGAACTATTGTCAACTAGATGATTAAATGAGAATATAGAAAAGTATCAAGTCTCCAGCTCAGATTATTACAGCACTAACCCTGGCAGGATGCAAGTTAAACAGAGACAGAACGCAAACAGCGTTCAGGAAATAAAACTGAACATGTGTGCAATACTAAAAAAGTTAAAACGTCAAAAACTGCAATGCAGGAACAGGAAATGCATCAACGATCTGTGTTGAGCCAATAAAATATACACAAAAGAAAATAAAAACAAGAGATATAAAATAAAGATTAAATGAAAATTCCACAAAGAAGGAAAATATGTTTAACTACAACATAATAAGAAAATATGTATGAAGCTCACAAAACAACAACAAACCAACTTCACAGCAGCCAAATAACATCCTGCTCAGCTTCCAGACCGCAGTCTGAAGAGATGTTTGCAAGCGCCAGCTGCCTTCCTAGTAGCTGGAAAACTAGACTTTAATAAACGGACACGCTGTGACCTACACCGTACATTTATAGCCAGACTGAAACGCTCATCTTTTCCTCTGCTCCGCTCGTTTTCACCGTCTCCTGTCACGTAACTGTCATTTGAAGAATGAGCAGAAGACGCTCGCTAAGCGCTGCCGTGTTGCACAGTGTGCCGCCCGCACCGTTAATGATTTTCACCCGCACTGTGCGGGTGAAAATCATTAACGTGAGGAACGCATTGATTTAATTAATCATGTGAAATTTTAATAGCAGGGAGAACCACACGTTTCTGTTGTGTTCTCATTTCCGAGTTTCACCTTTTTCGTTCCGTCAACATTACGTTATCAAGTAAACTCTAGATAATCGATTATTGACATTTGTGAATAGATTCATAATCGTCCACGTCCGCATCTGAAAATCACTTGTGTTCAGGTGGAGATGGTCACCTCTGTCTCCTTTCACAGATGCTCTCTGGTGTCAGATGTGAATGTCCTCCTTGATCTTTCTCCTGTTGTCAACTCGTAGATGGCTTATTGAATCCAGGCTCAGGGATCAAAGAGAGGCCAAACGACTATAAAGAGACAGTGTAGATGCAGATACCTCAAATACCAGATGTATTTTCCATATATGTGGCCACTGTGACTCTCGGTCATGCTAACCTCTTGGCTCTGAGTCTGCATCATGCTCCTCGCCTTGATGTCAATGTTATTGTGAGTCCTCATTTCACCAAATCTGTCAAACGGAGGTGCCGTCAGGTTGAAATAAACCGGAAATTTCATTTGGGACTTTGAAAGATTTGTGGCAGGTGCTCCTTTCTTGTGATTTGAAGACTCTTGCCCGTTCAGCCTCGCAAAGTAGACTCACTGGGGTGAAACCTACAGAGATTGCTAGTAAGAGTACCTTGAGTTAAGACAAGATAAATGTTCTCAAATGATTCTGATCTTTAGTTGAAGCTGGATTCTTGTTGTCAAATCCTTGTATCAAAATCCCAGACCTGCTTTACCTCTGTGAGGGCACTTCAGGCTGTACAAAGTGTGGACGATGATAAACCAACTGAGCTCCTCAACTCTTAACTCAACAGCATTGACAAGATGATGAGAAGAAGGCGGGAGGAAACAGCTTGATTGGCTACAAAAAACTACTTGGAGCAGGTTTCTGTGTGAACACGTTGGTGCAACTTCAAGAGAGCTGATGAAATAAAAGTTTTCCCACATTGGTCACACCAGTACGGTTTTTCTCCAGTGTGAACACGTCGGTGGATTTTTAAGTAACCTGAGTTAGAGAAAGCTCTCCCACATATGTCACAGCTGTACGGTTTTTCTCCTGTATGAACGCGCTGGTGGAGCAAAAGAGTAGACATTTGAGAAAAGGTTTTCCCACACTCCTCACACCAGTACGGCTTCTCACCAGTGTGAACACGTCGGTGCATTTTAAGGACACTCCCACGGGCGAAACTTTCCCCACACAAATCACAACAATACGGTTTCTCTCCAGTATGAATGCGTTGGTGTCGAATAACCGCATTTCGCCTACTGAAAGACATTCCACATTGCTCACAGCTGTGCAGTTTCTTCCCAGCGTGAGTGCGTTCATGGATTTTTAGATAATAGGTAGTGGTAAAAGCTTTGTCACACTGGTCACAGCTGTACGGCTTCTCTCCAGTGTGAGTCATCTGGTGGACTTTGAAGTGACTTTTGTGTGAGAAAGCTGACCCACATTGGTCGCAGCTGTACGGCTTCTCTCCAGTGTGCATGCGTTGATGCATTTTTAAGGTACCGGCTCTCGCGAAACCCTTCCCACATTGATCACAGGTATACGGTTTCTCCCCAGTGTGTGTGCTTTGATGGTTTTTTAGGTGAGTCTTGCGTTGGAAAGCTTTTCCACACAGATCACAGCTGTGCGGTCGCTTTGCAGTGTGATGATTCTTTAAAGATCCAGATGTTGTGCAGGGTTTGTCACAGTGCTGACTTTCCAGTCCCTCTCTTCCTCCCTGTTTCTAGATCAACAGACAGACATGCAGAGAGAAAGACCGTGAGTGAGATGTCATGGTGGAGCCATAAAAGACATTTAGAGCACGTCTGTGGAACATAATCCACAATGTTCAAGTTCGACAAAAGCATTACCAACTGTGACCACCTGGCTCGTACGACAGGGTGTCGGACCACATCTAAAAATAAAAGCATTTATAACTAATGTGTTTAAACTGCAGAATATTTTTAAAGGTCAGTACCTCTATTGGTGCAGGTGAAGCTGGCTAGAAAATGACTAGTCAAAATGTGACATTTTATAGTCCTCTTCACTTTATTCATGTATTCTTTCTGTTTTCCTGTCTTCATAATGCATATTTAAAAAAACAAATGCTGCTGCCACGCATGGACTGCCAGTACCAGATGCTTCAAGTCTGCAAACTACACACTAAGAACAGAAAACTATGCCTGCAAGATGAGGAGGTAGCCGAGGCAAGCCGCAATACACACCGTTGGAGAGCCTCCGCCACGATGAGCGGGCAGTGTGGGCACACCTGAGAGCACTTTCAGCAGATTACACTTCTACATGTAATCAGTGATGCTACACAGTACAAACTTTTACCTCCTTCGTATTGTGTAGGGGTGAAAGAGTTACCGGTTTACTGATAAACCATGTTAATATCCTCGACAGTTAGTATTACTAAATGCATTTTAATTAACATGATAAACGTGTTTGATTACCAAGCTTTGAAAAACTCACGGTAAATACTGTCCAGCATCAACAGAAGTAGAAACGGTCTCCCAGAAGCAGGCAGCAAGGTATTGCTGTGCAAGACGTGCTGAACTCACCAGGATTTGTTGAATTTTGTGTTAAAATTTGAGGCTGACAAATACGCCCGCAGCAAAATTGTTGCCACCGCCGCTTCACAACTTTACGAAATGTCATGAAGTCGTGATTCCATGACTCAGCAAAGGCTTTTAGACAGGTTGGTGAAACGCTCTTGAATCTTTCCTCGTCACCACTGGGGATTGGGAGCACTGGCCAACAAACCAGAGGTGGGGGTCTCGAGTCACATGACTTGACTTGCTAATTTTATGACTTGAGACTTGCTTGACTAAAACAGGTTGGAACTAGAGGATGTCCTTCAACATTTTGGAGAAGCCACAGACCTTACACAAGCAGAATAAACTTTGACTTAAAGTGCTGTTGTGCCCTGTAACCTACTAACGCTACTTGGGTGGCTTGATCTGTAGCCTGCAAGGATCACTGCAAAGAAGATTCAGAGGGATCTTTGTCAATGTGAAGATGAACTGAGTGATGGAGCAACTTTTCCCTTCTCGGACCCTCTATATCTAAAAGCTGCATGGCTGGATGACCCATGACGTTTTGCCCCCTGAAAATGTCAAGGAGGGATTCTAAAAAGTATAGTTTTAAAAAATTGACCACTGAAGAAATAGACTAAACTACTATAAACTAAAGAAATGTTCATTATGTTGATATAAATTGTTATGACGGTTGTTAAATTAAATTGTCATGACATTGTTGGTCATGATAACTCAGCTATGAGTAATAACTGTTGGTATACATGTTGTGACTACTATTTTGTTTATTATTTTAAAACACAGGAGACGTGTTCCAGTCCCCAGATTCAGCTGAACCACTATTTGGACATGGATGGAGCTGGCTTCAGTTTTCAGCCATGAGAAGGCCTCCCCTCTTTGTTCTCGGTGGCGGTAAGAGTTCTGGCAGTCCCTGCATCAAGTGCACCTGTTGTTGTCGTGTGTTCAGCCATGGCGGTGTGATAATGCGACCACACCGTTCACAACTGAGCGACAAAGTGCTATCGAATTAAATGTTTTGCAAATGCAATGCATTGCAAGTGGCTGTCCTCCTTATGTTTCAAGGCAGCATGATTGCTACCAGCTACCAAGGGATACAGTGCACATTTTGAATGAAGAATATACTCACACACGGAGAAACACACTTATACTCACACAAAAAACACACACTCCTCCCTCTGTCATTATACTGGACCGTATTCTATATTTTTCTGCAATATTCTCTGATGCCATTTATTCACTAGCCCTTTTTTGTTCACCATAATTCTTTAATAATGTAATTATTGTACTTTTATTTATTATTATTTCTGTCCCTTGACAAGTGTGCAACTGTGACAAAAGCATTTCCCCTCTGGGATCAATAACACAGACACACACACACACACACTACCCACATCCTGTATCTACATACACACATGCATACACTCTCACAAATGATAAAACAGAAGCACTTTAGACTGATGTGTTAATAGGACACGGGGTGATGCAGTGTTTGGTAATGTTGGAAATAAAACTCAGCTTTACAGGACTACTGTCTTCAAATGTAGAAACTGGAGTTATTGCTAAGAATTTGACTTGAGACTTCCTTCCTTGCAAACATTTACAAAATCAGGTAAATATCTCTTGAACTGAAGGTTTGGTTGTTCTACTAATGTCACTCTAAGCTACTAACTGCACACTGTGCCACTGAGCGTGATGGAAAGCAGCCAGTGTTTCCTGTTCACAAGCTGCGGTAATACTTTCCCTTTCCAACGCCGTGTTAAAGCCTGTTCAGTCTCTGCAGAACAAATGCAGGCTTCGCACTGAAGAACAATCTCAGTCAGATGATCCCTGGATTGATTCTGATCCTAAATTAGCAGAATCCTCTCGTTGCGCAGAGCGTGGCTTTCTTTTATTTTTTATTTTTCTCTAATTCGCTTGGTGTCTATCTGTTTTATAGTGGAATTCTTTTAATTGAATGTTGCTGGTGAAACTGATCCTGGCTTTCAGTCACCTACTAACTATTATTTATTCAGGTAACAATATTTTTTAAGATGCAGAAGGAGAGAGAATACAACAGTCCTGTTGGAGAAGACAGATCTGTGCAGCTTTCCCTTCAAATCAAAGCAAGTCGTTTGGTCGGCTACATTAATAAGAGATACAGGAAACAAGAGTCGGCTGCAAAAAGCAAATGTGATTTTAAACTGATCTTATCAATACCTTCCTGTAGATAAACGGCTGAACAAGGAAAGCTGTCTGTCTGCACTCTGTCTAGCTTGGTTTATCACATTTCTTAAATATTATATATGAATATTTAATGCCAAACAGATCGTGCTGAAAGTGCAGAAGATAAACATGAAGACCAAGGTAAAAAAAATAGTTGCCAAAAGAAACCGTGTCAAACTCCAAACCACTGACAACATCTCTGAAGAGCCGAGCGTGTGCATACAGGGGTTTAACTTATACGGCCAGACAGCAGATTAGAATAAAGTGTCTGTTGGTGGTGCATGACTAATAAAGATTGTAGATTGGTAATAACACACTCAGATACCTCCTAGAGCATGTGACTAGGTTTGGGTGAGGTGTACTTAATATTCATCAGAGTAAAACAGCTGGCCAGAATTACATTAGTTTTCTTAGACACATGACAATGCCGGTACAGTGTGTTACAAAGTAGAAGAGTGACGGTGAAAGATGGAAGCAGGGTACTGATGCTGTGACTCGCTGCCTCGCAAAAAAACGGTTTCTTTTAAGAGAAGGCTGCACTTAAGGCCATGCTGCAGACAATGTAGAACCATGCGTGAGCAGACACAGAGAGTTGAAGCCAGTAGCGGATAAGGTGTGCTGGAGGAGTCAGAGCATGATGCCAAACTCACAGCCAAAGCTGAGGTGCAAATATGGCCATGATGCCGTCGAGAGGATGCAACACTGCTTAACCGAAGCTACAGAGGGGAGCACACAAAGCCAGCCGTCCGCCACTAAAACAGATATAGCAACAAGTCCAACGGGGGGGTGATGGTACAGTGGATAAGACACATGCCTTTGGATTCATTTAATAAATGTAAATGTCACAAGCATTAGTGATTGAAGGGTAAGAGAAATCAGTTCCTGGCGCCTGAGAAAAGAGCAGCTACAGCAGCTGTGCTCACTGCTGATCAAGAAGCTGAAGCAGAGATGTCGATGTACCCACAGGAAATGGCTGCTGATGGAGAAAGCTAACCACAGGCGGTTCCCTCTCATGACCTTGCTCTTCACATATCTGAGTGTGTGCTCATCACATCGGGTAATGTTGTTACTCCACTATGCAGCCTATTAAAGCCAGAAAAGGTGCACATGATATGATTTGACAGAAACCTTGAGATTTAACCTTGCATGATAACCTGGTACCAGCTCATTTTAATTATTTTGTTGTGGTTTATGTATATTTTGTATTAACCAAAAAGGTGAAAGCAGCTCCTACTGATACTTAAAAGGGTGTCTCTGCCTCAAAATTATTTCATTCACGAAGGTTATATTTGGCATGTTACATGGAAAACTATATATTATTGTTTTAAAACAGGTCTTTCGACAGGTTAAAAAGGACTGGGTGAGTTTTAATCTGTCAAATTTAACCCTCATGAAGTCTGAAATTTTGAGGCATAAACAACCCTTCACTAATAAGGTAGAGGCTGCAATCACTTGTTGTATTGGTCCTTTAAAAAGTTATTTCAAGTGGTAAAGACTGGACTGGTTGGCAAGCAAATTGATGCAGCGTCGTGAGGATAATTTCAAGAGGCCATTTCTTTATTTTATATATAAACCATGTTAGGCTACAGTCTGTTTTCAAAATATAAACGTCGGTATTAAACATAAGCGTACCAAAAACATATTTCATCAACAACAATAAGCGATGTATAAACTGCAAACACTCATCTGCTCACCGTTGTGATTATACAGATAAGAAACCTTACAGTTTCACACAAACAGACTTCTGCTGTTACCACGGAAATAAAGTGATGTGTATTTGCTCCTTATGACTGTTTGATCCAGATAAAATCAGCTATAGGCGACATGGCTGATGCAGCTGTAACATGCTGTGCGCGCTCCCGTAGACGGATCACAGGGGCCTTTCTTCCTCTCGCTACCTACTTCCACTCACGCATGCGCGTTCATGCGCCACACTGAGCGCTATCTGAGACCAACGAGGGCGGAGTGAGAGCGTGAGAGTGGACTGTTAAACCCTCCAATGCCGAGTGAGCACGATACCAGCTTGTTGAAAGTGTGTAACAGCCTTTGCTGCACGACCTTTCAAATGTGAGTTCCGTGTGACTTTGCCGGTTAACATGTAGGATTTTAACTACACCAACATTTCATATCACCATTCACAACATTATGTTTAATAAAAAATAATAATAAATATACTGCGCCGCGCGCGTGGGCAATCCATTAAAACAAAGAAAAGAGAAACGCTCGTGAGTTTTTCTTTCAGCTTCCTCTCTTCAAGATGAAAACAGGAATCACGGAGACACTTTGGAAATCAAACCACGTCAACACAAACCCTGGAGCGGGTTTTCAGGCTCTAATCTCTAACAACAGAATGAACGGATGATACACGGACCCTCGAGACTCTTCCTCGTGTCTTTAGTCTCGTGATGAAGTCATGAACACTGACCTGAACATCGGTGCTATCAGAGCACGAGGCTGCTGTTTGGCTCCTGTGGTCCGGGTTCTGGTTCTCCATCGTCCTGCAGGTCTCCGCTGTGACTGGTGGACCGTGTTGTCCTGGACTGAGTCTGGATTCTGGTCTCGGTGTTTTCGCGATGTCACGTCTGCCTGCCCCGCCCCTTAGTTCCTGTTCCTGAAATCAGCTGTTCTTCAAGGTATTTTATCATTAAGGTTGTATAACGAAAAGAAAGCTTAAGAAAGCTTGTAATCACTTCATGCTGCAAACACAGAATCTAATTAAATGTATATTAAACTATGGTAAGATGTAAAAAGGCAATATATGGGCTTCTTATTGTTGAGTTTAAAATCTCTGTCTTCTTAAAATGTGACCTGCAGGGTTTTTGGCCAAACAGTTGCATCAGAATGTTGATTAAACCAATTGTTTATTTTCCTTTTTGTAATGTGAAGAAATCTGACACCTCTTTGTTTTAACTGTTTCATAGACACCTAAGAGTGAGTGTCGACCGTTTTGGAGACGACCCCTGTTGTTCTGTATGATTAGTGAAGCGCAAAGACAATAGATTGAAGGGGGGTTTCACATTCACAGTAACTCAGAACCATAGTGGTACACCCTTCCTAATTGGGTGACAAAGAAACCTATCAAACGACCAATGACTATGATCCTAAGCCATCTGAAGGAAAAATGACACACCCACATACCTGGAGGATATGATCATACTATTTTGCAAAGAATCGGGACTGTAAGCTGTAAATCTTGAAGGAGAAGCAACTTTCCAGTCCACTGCTGGGGGTGGCAGTAACTCAGTCCGTAAGGATTTGACTGGAAACTGTGTTGTTTGTTCTGTAATGACATCGATTTTTGTAAATAAATCTGTTTGTTTGTTAGTTTTCCGAGCCTCTCCTTTGTCAAAATCTGGAAGACACAACATTATATAGGTACAGACATGAATCACCCCAGAACATTCTGCAGAGCATTTTTTTATTTATTATTTGTGTCTGGGGTGAATGTAAATAGCAGCAACAAGATGATAATTTGGTTTCATCTTCACATAAAAAAGTCTGACATTTAGGAAACGGTGTCCATCCTGACGGTGTTTGAGCACCAAGCATCATCGATGTAAGACACCTCCGTGCATGGACATAAACAACAGCGTAAACAAAACAGCTCAGCAAGAAGCAGACATAGACTACAGTGTACACAAATAAACACACCAGAGACAAAACAACAACATTTGTAGACCGCAAGACAAAAGTATAATGAAGCAGAGTGCAAAGGATGCTGGAATGAATAGTTTTACTACATGGTGTAGGTGGATATGATTCATACAGAATGATATAAACATCCACTGAATTGTTCCTGTGAGTCAGAAGTCAGTTGTTCATCAGAGTGACGGCCTGTGGGTACAAACTGTTCCTGAGTCTGTTGGTTTTGGCGTACAGCGCTCTGTAGCGCCTACCAGAGGGGAGAAGCTGGAACAGGTTGTGTCCGGGGTGAGATGGAGCAGAAGAGATGTTTCCTGCCTGTTTCCTGACTCTGGAAATGTAGAAGTCCTGTGGGGCAGGTTGGTACTGATGATTTCTTCTGCAGTCCTGACTGTCCGTTGTAGTCTGCTCCTGTCCTAATTTGTTTTATTAATACATATTTTATTTTTGTCCGCAGATTAATATTGACATTATGAACACAAAACAACCAGAGGTAGATGCACAAAAAAAGAAAAGATGAAAAACAGAAAATAAAAAATAAAAGAGTCAAGAAGAATTAAAAAAAAAACTCTATCATCGGTAAGAAATTTGCCTAGAATGCCTTCATGTTCTTGACGTCTTTAATCGTGTATTGATGCACTCATTGGTGAAAGTGTCTAACGTGTGGTCCTTGTGGATGTGGAATTTCCCCAATGATAAAACCAACTGTCCTGCTCGTTTCTTTCAAAACATCTACAAATGTCTTTTTCCTGAAGTTGTAAGTATATATATATATGATGATAAAACAAATGACAAATTGATTCTTCTTGTAGTTGACAATAAAGTTGAAAGTGTAAGAATACTCAATATAAATTCTAAATCTCTCAAATGTCTATTATTCAAGTTTTGTGTCAATTAATTTCACCATAAAGTGAAGTCTGGAGGAGTCTGGGGTGGTGATGGGGCAGTGGATAAGACACGTGTTCGGTGTGAGAGACCCGGGTTTGAATCCACTGTGAGACACAACAATGTGTCCCTGAGCAAGTAACTTAACCCCTCGTTGCTCCAGAGGCCTCTGACATATATAGCAATTGTAAGTCACTTTGCATAAAAGCGTCAGCTAAATGAATAAATGTAATTCTCTACCTGGAGACAGAGTTACACCTTGTATGTAGTTCCTGATTTATTTGTATTATTAGTATTTATTCACATAACATTTATTCTTAGTAATGTCATCTTCTCCAAGGAAAATGCTACTATTAAATGGTTGGATCATTGAGATAGCTGAACCTCTTAGAGAGTCCCTGTCCTGTTTGGTGGCGGATCCAAACCAGACGTGCAGACTGGATGAAGGCTGATAAATCCTCTGCTGGGCCTTCTTGATGATGGTGGATTCTAGAAACCTGAAGACACCATACATCAGGTATGTGAGGACGTGTGTGTGCCAACTAAAAACTACAAACCCGGGTTTACAGCAAAAGTCAGGCAGCTTCGAAAGACCAAGGAGGAGGTCTTCAGCGGTGGGGACAGAATCCTGTGTAACTAGATCAGAGATACGCTGACAAAGGAGGTCAAAGCAGCAGAGAGGAGCTTGAAAACAGGCTCAAGCTTCACAGCCAGCGGCCCTGCGTCAGTGTGGAGACTCTTGCAATTTAATGTTGAATTTACAAGAAGGCAAAATCATTAAGAATTTGTTGTAGACAGCGTTTCACAAAGTTTCCCCTAACTCGACAAGTGACTAAACTGCACGACTGTTGAAGTGAAAGTGTTCTGTGAATGTTTCCTGCAGACCTGTTTCTGTTAATACAGTGAGAATTGGTAATACAAACAGTCCATAAAACAACAGACGTGGTGACAGAGAACTGAGGTGCTCTTCCTAACGACCCCGAAGGTCAGGAAACATCCTGCTGGACTCACATTAACGATAATCAAATGAATTCCTCATGCGAGCTGGTGAGATCCTGCAAATTACGACAGGATGTGGCTTCTTCTGATGGGCCTGATAAGAGCCACCAGCCCCACACTGCCGGTCTGCTCCTCATAGAGGACTAATGTTGGACCCAGGGAACAAAGAACAAAGCAACTGATGATGTAAAGTCAGAAAAAGGAAATCATCAAAATATAAACATGCTGTAATTTACAACAGTGTCGTTAAATTTGTTTGCTGGGGGAGGGGGCTAATATCGCAAGAGAAAAACTCTCTGTGCTCGTGTTGTTAAAGGCTGTGTACTGCAGGGTATGCACGATCATTAGTCAGCATGGTGTCCAAAATCTATCAGCTGCAGCAATTTGTGTATCGCTCACCTGCTGGAGGATGCAAGACTGAGGAGTAAAGTAGGTAATATTGTTCAGATCTGCTGTCTAAAAATCATGTAAACCGAGAAGGCTATAAATTACATTTCACAAAAGACACAATATACCTCAAATTACAACTCTAATAATAAAGTTAGTGAACACACAGACTTCAGTTTCTCATGCTGAGTGACGCTGATGCTGTTTAGAGTCTGCAGTCGGGTTAGTGTTCGTTATCTACACCGAAGAGAGATGTGTGTCTGAGATTATGCATCTGTTAGCCAAATCTGATATCAGACTTTCCATCCGAAGGCTTTGCGAAACCCACAGAACCACAGGAGCAAAACAAGAACAAGGCCAATGTTTATTGATCCTGCAGAGAAAACAAGTTGACTGGTGCAGTAACGAGAAACAAGAAACATGAATACAACACAACAGCAAATAGATTCTGTTAAATACAAATATACAAAAGAAAGTTCAGCAGAACAGTTAACATGTCAGCGCCGTGCACCAAACTGCAACAGGAGGTCATCTCATTGATTTGCCCTGAAAAACACATCTAATTAATTCAAGAAATATCCTCTAGTGTTGTTTGTCTCATTGTAGCCGCATGAGTCTAACTTAGCACACATGAAGTTAAATAAATGGATGTGCTGGGGTGTGAGGGGCTCTGGGGACCAGTTCCAGGCCAGCTGGACATCAGTGTGAAGGTCTACCTCAGTGAAGAGTAGACGACCTCTGGCTCTGCCGGAAACTCTGAACACAAACAGTTCAAACAACATGAGAAACTGTTGGAGACAAAGAAACTCCGTCACCAGACAACAACTCTGCTATATAGTCAACTTCAGTGCAGTCTTTTTTTAAATGTGTCTGGTCGGCCTGCTCTGCGTTCTTGATGTTGTTTTGAAACTGCCTGTGTCTGGTGTTGGTGTCGTGTTTTGTTTCTTGTTCCCCCCGAGGCCTGAACTATGAAGGGAGTTTAACCTACTCAGATTTAGCTTCGGGTAATCAAGCAAACTCAGAGCTGACAAACTCTGACCGCCTACACTGGTGTTGACCACGACGGTGAGTTGAGTCAGTGTTGGCTTAGTTGGAGTCGGGACAGCTGGATATTAGGTCCACTGTAATAAAACCAGCCAGCAGCCATTGATTTCAGCCTACAATCACCATATTATCATATGCATTGGGAATTAAAGAGACTTTGCCGTCAATTGGGTTTATTCAGAAGAAACTACAGACTGATTTGGATTTTTTGTGAATTTAATTTCAGGGAGTTTTGTTCTTGCAAATTTACCATAGTCACATAGGATTTTTTTTTAATTAATTAAGATCTCCTCCCAGACGTAATGCTGTTGTTTTAAGAATAACTTCATTTCAGATGTGACATCAGTGGAACAAGTCAGGATGAAATCTAACAATATTTTATCAAGTAGTGTGTGTTTATTGTTCTTATTAACACTGAGTACAGATGGTCTGTAGCCCACGTATACCGAGTAACCTCGAAGATAACCTGCTCGTTGTCTTAGTGTCTATATTCCTCATTTTTGTTCGGTCTCTGCCGGGTCATTGTCTTGTTAAATGGATCTTTCGTCGAGTATTGTCCCGATTTCTCTGCTGGATTTAACCTGTTGGACTCCCTGTGTTTGGACTCATGAAAGCTTTATTTTCAGTTTTTTTTAAATTAAATATGGCAAACTGAACCTGAGAAAATCCTGCCAAGGAGTGTGTGTGTTCAGACACCAAGGCGAAGCAGATCCATTAAATAGTTGTAATAATTAAATCAGAAGGTACAATGGCTTCAAGGTTCAAGGCAGGTACGGGTCAAAACCGGAAAGCAGTACAAAAACATAAATCCGCAAGGAAGTGTACAAAATCCAGACAGGGATACTGACTGACGCCACTCTAAACTGGCATTAAAACTGAACCTTGTTATTTAAACAAACTATGTCAACATTTAATTTTGAGACCACATGCTAGCAGATATGTAAACGACCCTCCTGACCCTGGTCTGGACTGGTTTAGAGATCCTTTTTTGCCTGACCTTACATTCCTATTACCCATATTTCTTTAGAGATATCCATCCCATGTCTGTTTGTTAAGTACGGAGCTGGAGTCAGGACGTGGTTAGCTTAGCTTAGCTTAGCATAAAGACTGGTAGCAGGGGGAAACAGCTAGCCTGGCTCTGTTTAGTCCAGAAATAAAGAGCAGTTGTACCTGTGGCACTGTGTGGTCTGATGTCTGTTTGTCCATTAATGAGATCTTCTTTTCTCCTCACTGCTGCGTAGACTACGCCTGAATCACACTCTGAAAAATAAAATAAATGCAAATTACTTTACTGCAGGTACTACAGTCATACTGGACCTGGCCGTCATGGTAACAAGATTTGGATCTTAACCTGCCTGGTAAAATAAAATAAAAGATACCAGTGCTGCTGTATATTTAGTTCCGGTGTTATTACAACATATGAAATAAAACTACTGCTGTAGAAATATTTTTTTAAATCACATAATAGAAAGATAAAGATAATAGTAAGTTTATTGTTGATAGTTGTCAAACTCAGACACAGGAACAAGAGATTTGGGCCCAAATGCAGACGCTTACAGAGCAGATGCAGTTAGTGGTGTTAATTAAATCCAGACGAGGGCAACTTGCAGGCGGTCCAGGGAGTGTCCAAAAGGGTACAAACATAAATCCATCGGGTTCAAAGTCCAAGGGTAAAGACACTCAAAGGGCATGTGCAAACCTAAATACCTACAAATTCTCATTTCAGTGCGTCATTACCGACGCTTTCAAACAGCGTGACAAAGCGTGATTATTTGACGCTAAAGGTACCTTCAGTTCTGTTTTCTCCAGTTTTGCCATCCTCCAGTTAGTGTGTGTTTATCACTCACTGCCTCTGTGTTCTTGTTCTGTGTCCCTGTTTAGGTTTTGTCTGTTTGTGACGCATTGAAGAGTACAAAATCCAGACAGGGATACTGAACGATGCCACTCTAACAACTGGGAGACCAGGATTTATATACAACAGACTGACAGGATGATTGGACACAGGTGAGATTAGGGCAAGTGCAAACAATCAGCGAAAGAAACACAAAGCAGGAAGTAAAAGTCACACCAGGAAGGATAACTTCAAAATAAAAGCAGGAACTTACAAAACTCAAACCCAAAACCACAACAAAAGGGGACATATGTTGGCATGATAACGTTAGTGGCACTATGTCGTTTCTATAACTCGTGTTTCATGTCGAGGACATGCTTATGTTTATTTCAGCAGTAATAGCTAATGTCAGTTTAATTTCTGTTTCCATGGTGATAGACATGCCATGATTAAATCCTAACCGCATTAAAACTGAATATTGTAATTTAAACAAAATAAGTCAACATTTAAATTTTGAGACCACATGATAAACGACCCTCCTGACCCTGGTCTGGACTGGTTTAGAGATCCTTATGTTTTTGCCTGACCTTACATTCCTATTACCCATATTTCTTTAGAGGAACAGTTTGACATTCTGCGAAAGCTCGTATTATTCTCTTTCTGACCGAGAGGAAAAGATTGATATCCATCCCATGTCTGTGTCTTAAGTACGGAGCTGGAGTCAGGACGTGGTTAGCTTAGCTTAGCTTAGCATAAAGACTGGTAGCAGGGGGAAACAGCTAGCCTGGCTCTGTTAAGTCCAGAAATAAAGAGCAGCTTTACCTGTTGTGCTGTGTGGTCTGATGTCTGTTTGTTCATAACTGAGGTCTTCTTTTCTCCTCACTGCTGCGTAGATTGCAGCTGGATCACACTCTGAAAAATAAAATACATGCAAATTACTTTACTGCAGGTACTACAGCCAAATTGGACCGGGCTGTCATTGTAGACAAGATTTGGTTCCTGACCTGCCTGTTAAAATAAAATAAAGGATACCAGTGCTGCTGTATATTTACTTTTATTATAGACTTTATTGTTGATAGTTGTCAAACTCAGAGTGTCCAAAAGGGTACAAACATAAATCCATCAGCTTCAAAGTCGGAGAGTAAATCCATAAACAATGGGGTAACGACAATAGAAACTAACCAACTGACAAAGTCAAAGGAAACGTGCAAACCTAAATTCCCAAGATGGAGGAGACACCATTACACACTGGTGGGCACAATCAGGGAAAATTAAGACTGACAAGGAAGCAAAGCAAGACAAGACACAATATGCTTAACACCACAAAATAAAACAGGAAGTAAATCAGACAAAATACACATGGATATCTTTAATTGATTTCTGTCTTCTCCTGTTTTGCCATTCTCCAGCGTGCGTGTGGTGTTTATCACTCACTGCCTCTGGGACCCCTTTAGGTTTCATCTGCTTGTGACGCATGCGCCCATATTCTCTGTACTCTGTCACATTCATCCTGGTTTGGTGTTGCCTGTGTTGTGAACTCAACCAGACGCACTTCAAAGAAGGTCAGATGGTGTCAAAAGAGAGTTGACCTTTTCACATGTAAAACCCAGAGACATCGCCTGGTGTTGGTAAGGACCGAAAGAGACTCAATCAGACAATGAATCGCTTAAGGATTGTGTATTCAAAGAGCCTTAGTGAACCTTTCTAGCTGTAAAGGTGTCGCTAAAGACAGTCCACAGGACAGGAAAGGGGGCGATCTGACCCCTTCTCCCTCCAGCAGGTCACCTCCAGCCTCAACCTGACTCTTTTCTCTCCACAGAACGGCTGAGCCATAAACCACCATTTCGTTCTGTAATAGCCGATGCGATAAGCCAGGAATGCAGAGAAGAGAGATCATAAAAACCCCTGTTTCTCAAACCAAGCAAGGTTCCAGTATAACTGTGTTTATTCTGTTTAAATAATAACCTTGCTAAGTGAGCAGCGGTGTTTGCCTCTGAGTTTAGTAAGTAATGACCCTGTTGTTATTCTTTAGTGATGTTTGAAGACTAGCAGACCCATAAGAATCTTGAAGAGTTCTCTAACCTCTTTCTGTTTTGTCTTAAGTCATCCCTGTTACTCCCTAGTAATCACTGTCTATTCAATGCTAACTAATGCTTTAGTTAAATGTTTCATATACAATTTCTTACTAAATTATCCATGGAAACGCTCGTAGGCATCACCAGCCTCTCAGTTAAAGTGGAATGTCTACTCTTTTCTTGTGTGACCCGAGCGCCACCAAGGGGACAAGAAAGGTATAACACGCAAGTGTTTAAAACTCGGCTTACACTGACAGAATTGTTAAGTAGGCCTAACTATCACCATGTAATGGCATAAACGAAATTTTACTGTCATGCTTACATCTAAATTGTCTCATGTGTTAAAACCAGTAACCAGCAAGTATACTGAGGACATGTAATCAAGCTTTGTTACATTTTATATGACCATTATAAACTTTTTCCATAGTGTTTAGCCTTGTTTTAACTGTCTTTATCCGAATGTTTAGAACTAAGTATTTTTCCAAATGTCGATATTGTGGAGATAGAGATCAAAGAGAAATACACGCAACGTTTATTTCTTTATCCCAAAAAATTAACACCTTAGCGACGTTTGGGAGACCATCCCCAAAATGATGTCACACTACCTAGCGGGATCAATAAAAAGGCCCTGCTGTCTTTTGTTCCAGCTTCTTCCTCTTCAAAGAAAACCTCTTCTTTTAAACTTTCTTGAAACTAAACGTATACACTCTCTTAACTTCCTTTACTTTAGAAATTCCGATTTTTGTTTCGTACTTAAATCTCCTTCAGACGAGCTGAGAAAGCTACGACCCTGAATTCCAATTTTCTTAGCGGGAGATTTGATTTTTGATTTTGTTTGGAGCTGCCTGGGTGAAACTTTCCCCAGACCTGTTTAACCTCAGCAACATTAATATATTATTCCCGAGGCCTCGCGAACCTACGGCGAATGTGTGAGTTTATTTGATTTTGTTGTTGCAACCTCATCCGACCGTTGTGAGCAACTTTGGACCAGAAACTCAGAAGCCTTCATTTAAAATGAAACCACGGCTCTGACGACAGAACCCTGACGACAGAACCCTGAGTGGCCCTATAGCGACACCAAACGAACTGAGATCAGAGCAAAAGCCTTGGCTGACAGCCCGTTGCTGCAAGCGCTTCCCACAAGAGGTCTCTGGACCAAATCCACCGGTTTCAACCCAACTCAAAAATGCACAAAAACAAACAACCCTCTGTGACTCGTTGGTGATCTATGGGCTCCATCCACAGTTAATAACCCTTAGATTAGTCAAACTAAATCTGCAACCCAATTTTGGTCATTCATTCCCTCATACTGGTAGAATTCTCTCCCTCTACAATATAAACTGAAATTCAATCGAACCTTACATAGGCTACCCTGTTTTAGTACCTCCTGGTTGTCATATTAACTGTTATCCCTGTAATATCACCACATTTACCCACAATTGTACCCTCTTTTGTTAGTTAATAAATTCACCTTGAGCACAGCGACGTATGTGTGTGTGTTATTCAGAATCTAGAGTCCCTATACATAGAACTTACGCTCAGATCTGAGACTGACTGATTGACCTT